GTTGGTTGGAGGCCCGCCCCACCACGTGCAAGCACTGAAATTGCGTACCAGGCAATGTTCGCCACGATCTCGAGAATTTTCGTACAAGTACATCATGTAGGTGTATGTAAATCTACATGTTGGCCGTCAAATCGGCCTACAAACGTGGTCCAGGCATAAACAATGGTAAAGTCTACTAAAGACAGTGCAAGAAGTCGAAGAATTCGTTTCTGCCAAAATACCTGTAGCGAAATGGCAGAGAGCTGGAGCGAGTTGGAGTCACACCCCCAGAAGAGGGCCGGCCTTCCGGCTAGCGCAGGACGACTAGCTGACTAGACTACCTGCCCCGGCTGGATCGGCGTAGATCTATACATGCACCGACGACGCGCGTGAACGAGCTGCGAGTAGTAGATCTACCTTCACTCTGGCTTCAGGCTCAACAAAGTTCGTTACTTGGAACTCAAGCCAAGTCAAGGACTTAGGCAGATGAAGATCGGCGAGATAGAGTGAAACGTCGTCTACCGCCGTAGAGTCTACCGGCGTTGCATGAACTGATCATGTGCCGCTGCATCCACTGATCATGACTAGATGATCGCATGCAACGACTGATCATGACTAGATGATCGCATGCAACGACTGAGTACGAATAGCACCGGAATGGGGCTAAAGGAATAATAAGGTTTCTTTGAAGTCAGCATTGATGGTGGTATAAATACACCGGTATAGGCTCTTCTGAGGTGGGCTACCTCCGAAACGAGATAAGAATGGGGCAGCGAGCTGGGCGTAGCATGCAGAGAGCACCCTACCCCTTTGACCGCTTTGTGGTGCTTTCTTTGACGCTATACATGCTGATGACCGACTTTGTCCAACCTGATGCCGGGATCCAGCAGTGCAAGGATTTCGAAGTGAGAGCGCGCGGCGCCCGCGCAATGGCTTCCAACTGCTCGTTTCTTCTGAGCTGGGACAATTCATCGGACTGTGACACGGTGGAGGTGGTGGTGTTGAGCCGTCTACACAGTGAATACATGTACAATGAGGATGCTTGCCGAGGTTCTCTGGGCTGGTCGAGCATAAAGAACACGGTTCTAGCACAGTTCATCAACCATGAGACTCCGATCGAATTTGACTGGTGCTCCAAGGCCCAATTCTTCGACACCTGTTCATCACCCATACTTACCACCAAGCACCTGCAGCAACTGCGCCGCTTTCGACGGCCACCGTTCTTTGTACTCGGACCCGCGCTGAGCTCAGAAGTGGCCGTAGCCTCGCCGCAGTTGGCGGTGCAGAAGATTCCGCACATGTCGCCGTTTGCGACCAGCGAGCTGTTCGACGACCCTGCCGAGTTTCCTTACCTATTCCGCACGAGCCCATCGGACCATGCCATTGTCCAGGGACTGTCCAAGCTTATCCAGCACTTCAACTGGTCGTACATTGCTGTGGTGGCGTCAGCACAGCACCAGTACGGGACCAAGGGCCTGGAGGGCTTGCGGCGCGAGAGCATAAGCAGTCTGTGCTCGCAGAGGCCATTCTGCATTGGCCAGGAGGCCAACATGCCGCAAGACCCTCGCGACTTGAAGCAGATGTCTCGCATCCTGCAGCGCATCCAGAACGACCCAAAGATCCGTGTCATAGTCTTGTTCACGCTAGAGGCTGAAGCCGGACAGTTCCTAGCGTGCATGAGGGCCCGTAACATGACCAGCGACTACGTCGTCCTGGGAACGGAAGCTTGGATAACGCGCACCAACCTCTCAGACATCGAGCCAGCATGTGCTTGCTGCATAGTTAAAGGAGAGAACAACTGTACGGTGTCACCTTCATCGGCCGTGTCTCTACCCACCATTATCGGGCTAGACCCGTGGACTCTGGGAGAGGAGACGTATTCCGGGCAAACCGAGCGCTTTGCAACTCTTGCCAGAAGCGGTGGACAACTTCTGGAGCGGTTCATGCGGGGAAACCCCTGGTTTGCAGCCGTGGTTGAGAACAGATACAACTGTACCTTTTCAAACGTAGACACGTGCCTCGGTAATCGGGGACTGTCAGCCTGCCCCGATGCCGCTAGCATCATCAGCAGCTCTGTGGATGTGCTCGACTTTCGCAGTTCGTACCCAGTGATGCTCATGTTCGACGTGGCCATTCAGGGTGTTTTCTACACGGGCGAGATTGCCAACAGAACGACCTACAACGCCGACTTGGCGTACTGCTTCCTACAGCAGGTCATGGTGTGGTGCAGCGCGGAGCAAACACGTTACCTGCCGAAAGACGTGTTCGCCTGCAAAGACGGGAAGTGCAGGTGCAGAGCGTTCACATCCACGCGGAGCGCATGGCCACTTTATCACGTTCTGCACGTAACCACTGGCAACGGTGGCAATGCCTACGCGGCACTGGGTGTATTCTCCGGCATCGACGAGTGCAATACTTCTCTTAGCATGACGGGCTGGGCGCCGAATGTGACGTCGTCGTGCCGACCAGAGTGCAGGCCAGGTAAGAAGCGGGCCAGCAGCACCATTCTATCCAACACCTGCTGCTGGTCGTGTGTGAATTGCACTGAGCACGCCGTGTCCAACGGGACTAGCGGCGAGTGCAGTGAGTGCAAGCAAAACCTGCACGGCGGCACTTCTAACAACAATGTATATACGGTCAGCAATGCAGAGAGGACCGAATGCATTACACCGCAGACCAAGCGTGCCAGCAGCGGCTACACAATCGCTCAGATAGCAATACGCGGTGCCGTGATGGCGTTCATTCTGCTCATGTTGGCTGCCTTTATCCAGTATCGTAACATTGACTTGATTCACAGTCTTGATCTGAAATTCACTTGCGTAGTTTTCACGCTCACGCTGGTTGGTCTAGCCCTCACGACAGTCTTGTTGGTGCTCGAAGTAAAACTTGAACCAACTCAACTGCTCTGTGGCATAACAAAGATGATTGATGATCCCTTCATCCAGCTCAGCCCGGCCATAGTTCTGATCCGCTCACTCAACCTGCTGGCACAGGCGGCCGAAACGAAGGGCAAAGCACTTGGATGGAAGCACTACATGCGATCAACCAAGGGACAGCTAGTTTCCTTGCTCGTTGTCCTTGGCATCTCTGAGCTGATTGCCGTTATAAGCTTGGCGTGCGACGCAGTCGAGCTGGAATTGGCTGTATTGCGCGAAGGCAATACAACACTGCTGACTAAGGAGTGTCGAGAGAAGCCTGCAGTCGAGGTCGTGACCTACGTATGGCAGGCTGCCATCTTGTTTCCGGGATTGGTCGCGGCGACACTGGCCAGGAATAAGCAGCTAGTCAAGGGAGAAGGCATGATGCTCTTCACCACAGCTGTCTGTCTGGTGTTTGTGATTATCAGCGTCGAGCCTGCCACTGCGCTGGTCAGCGTGGAGGCCAAGGCCATTCTCCAGTCGTTCAAAGTCGGCGTGCAGCTCATTGTCCTTGTGCTACTGCTTTATGGCTCTCGTCTGTACCTTCTGGTAAGGCATAGAAAAGACCTGATCGCTTCCGCAGAGCATCGGCAAAGCAAGTGAAACTGACTCTTGTACAGATGCTCAGAGCTAGGTTGCAGGCGGGAATCCTCGCACCCGAAGATGGTGACAGTGTTGTCATTATCATTGGACATGCAGTGCCACCACCATTGCTTCACACCTGAGTAACAATCATAGAACTCTTCTACTGACGCTTCTAGCCTCTCGGTCTCTCATACATCGGGCGTCACTACATTACTCGCAGGGATCACACACGCAAGCATGCAGGCACGCACACACAAACACACACAAACACACACACACACACACACACACACACACACACACACACACAGGATAAGAAACAATTCTGAGAAATTCATGCATTAAACTTCCGAGCCTGTTGATACATCCGTTTTTACCGGCACTGTTGAGCAGGACTTATGCGGTCTCGGCCTGGCACATTTGCGCCGACAGGCCATTTTGAGAGAATTGTGGCAAATGCAGAAAAGTTGTGGACTCGTCAACCCAAGATTTCTGACTTCAATACACAAGAGAGAGAGAGAGAGAGAGGGATTGGAAGCTGTGACTTAGACCTCTCCAAAGTTATACTGTCCCCTCAGTTCGCACATTTATTATCACAGATACTTTGAAACTGGAGCTCTACTGTTTTATTATTTCCTTCGAGCAATACAAATAATGATAATACGGAAGTCTATCCACTGATTCCACAATTGACACCAGGGAGTATCCCTGGCTTGAATCCCCTTCGGCCATGCAGCACATGATCACTGCGTTTGTGTGCTCCAGTAACCGTACATGCATGTGCCTATTGGATACTCTCATAGTGCTAATCCTTGAGGGTGGACCGTGGTGGCATTCCTACGGATGCCGAAAGCTCAGTCTAACCGAGTGTAACGCGAACCTTGAAAAAATGAGTGTTCAATGGACAGAAGTAACTCTGGCGAATAGAACAATCCCCATGAATATAATGCTATGAATCCTATGATCACACTTCTATACCGTAATGTCGTGCATACAAGCAGGGCGTATTCCTGTAGAAGCCGCTGCCAAGGCTTCTATTCAAGCCACTGCCGGGTATCTCTATGTATGCCAACCAGGGAGTCGTAAAATACCGGTATTTTACGACTCCCTGATGGCAACACTAAACCAGGCTTACGTGCCGTGCTGAAAGTGCATCTCGGAAATCAGGCTTGCATTCAAAACGGGCTTCTATGAGACAGGCTCTTATACAAGACACTGCGGTATAGATTCTGACCGGCAAGCGATCACCATAGACGTTTCGTTAGTGAAGGCCTGGAGCACCTACAATCTTTGCTTTCTGCCAGGGAGTCGGTATTTTACGACTCCCTGCTTTCTGCCAAACTTTGAGTTGTCGGTAGGTAACAGCCTGGTTTTGAATTGCATCCACATTTTCAAATCCCTATAAACTTTGCGGGGCAACTCCTAGTTTAAAAAAAGTTATCCCAGGAAGAGCTCGCTGGTCAGTTTTACTTTTAAGTTTTAACTGGCCTAGAGCGGGGCCGTCAATTCACCAAAAAGTAAAGAGCATAGACATACTGTGATGACAGCATGCCACTTGTAATCATTTCGAGAGCATACAAAACTCAAGCGAAAGTTTTCGAAGGCAAATCCTACACATAGGATGAACTGGTAACAAAGAGATAGAAAACAGAAGGATGTACCATGGATTACATATTTATGTGTTTGCATGCTTTGGTTTTGTAAAAAAAGAGAGGGCAAAATCGTCATAAGTTTTTTTTCCTGTTGAAAATCATACGTTTTATGCCAAGCATGAACCTCAACTATGTACACAGCAATAAAGCGAAAGATATGACAAAGGCAGTGTTTGAACATCTTCACCGCCACCATGATGTGAAAATGACTTGTGTTGGTGTGAAATGAGAGCATGCGTTTCAGGCCGAGAGGTCGTTCTTCTCAAACTTATCGCGATCGTAGATCACTGCTTTGACTGTTTTGCCACCGAAGAAGCGCCCGTCCAGCCCCTTGACTGCTTTCTGGGCCTCTGCCATGACACACAGAAGCACATAGAATTCGAAGTCAGCACGCTTCATTCGGAACCGGGCTAGCACTTCCTTATCAGCTGGAAAAATCATGTAAGGAATTAGGGGCAGGGAATTCGCTGCAGAGCTGCTCGCGCTCTCCTTAACGTACATTGAATACACGTCACAATACTAACCCATACACGACTTGGAAAGGTGCAGAGCTCAGACGGGACTGCGTCAAACCGACAGACGAGAACAGAACACGATAATTGAGGACTGGTCATTGTATACAGCATGGCTTGTAGGCATGTGCAAACACCATACAGGGACAACACAACTCTTTCCCCCGGCTTTCCTCGTTCTTCTGTCACGTATTCATGTGCCTTGACGAAGGTGGTGATGTCACGACGGATGCGGAAAAGTCAGTCTGACAATATATATATATATATACTGTAAATCAACAAATTTTGGCCGGTGAGAAACTTTGGGCGATCTCGAAATGAAACTTTTGGCCGACATTTAACTTTGGCCGATTTGGGTTTTCAAAAAAGAAATCGATTGGTATTTGTTGCCCTCACATGACGCCATGGCTCAATAATGCATCATTTGCCTCTATGACAAATTTTGGCCGGCGATTTACTTTGGCCGGTTGGTACCCAGCGGCGAAATCAGCGAAATTAAATCGCCAGCGAAAATTAGTTGATTTACAGTAAATGCAGGGCTTATAATGGAGGACTGTATGTACATTTATCATGCATGTTTAACGTCATACAGTATCACATGCACACAGGTTGTGGCGCAAGTCCATAATCCCCGAGATGAAAAGTACAAGCTCAGTGTAGATCTACCAGGAAGTACAAAACTGCATTTACGGTAACATATATTGACCTTTGATAAATACCCACACTCATTAGTGACCACACTATCAACAGTATCAAATTCAAATAAACTTGCTTGACTCAATAAATACCACTGTACTTTTCCATGCAGCACTGCACTTTTCCCTAAAAAGGAGTATTTTATAAACAGTATTTATTGGCCTTAGTGGTATTTTATAAACAGTATTTATTGGCTTTTGGGCCAATAAATACTGTTTATAAAATACCACTAAGGCCAATAAATACTGTTTATAAAATACTCCTTTTTAGGGAAAGCGAAGGTCAACATATGCATAATAAATGTAGTAGCCTCAGGATTTATTGCAATTACATACCAGTTATAAAAACCTCGGGGGACCTCGGTTTTTATACTGGTATGTAATTGCAATAAATCCTTCGGCTCTACATTTATTATATGAGCCCGAGCGCGCTAAAACATGACCACAGCTTTTTTTGAAAAAGTCGAGATAATCGCGATTTGAATTCCGCGGCAAAAAATACGAAGTGCAGTGCAACGCGAGTCGCTGTTGTTGTTCTCCTCGGTCGACTGGACTGTTCCGGATGCAATTCTTTGTTGCAAGTAAGTTTATTTGTTAGAGTTTGTATTCCATGTTGCGCTGAGTCGCCTAAAACTGATCGTCATCGATGTATCGACAGAAGAGCCTAGTAGTAGTAATGTACTGCGGAGCGGAAGAAGACGACATCATCGCACTCCATGCGCAGGATAAAATATTTTGAGGATTCGAGTCGGAAACAGAAGGAAGACGATGATGGCTACAGCGACGAGTCCTTTGAGGGCGACACTTTCATCGAGCGTAAAAAGAATTGATGCTGGTAGTCCCACGATCTGCAGTGACGAGGAATTCTACTCTCATGACAACCTGGCAAGCGATTGGCATCGACACTGACTTGGGAGGTGAGTCGGCCGATGATTTGGCCATAATGGACATCGCTGCACATATCCGGGACAATGCCAGTATTGGTTGCAAGTGCAAAAACAATCACTGGACTCTGCTGCTACCTCAGCTTGCTCAAGTCGATAATTTGAGTGCCTTATGCGGAACATCGCTAGCATGAGCAGTATGCAGCGAAAGCAGTACTCTCTGGCGAGCGGAGAAAACCGTGTGCAGATGGGCTTTGGTGTGGGGAATATGAGTGCGACGTCTAGTATGTCGAGGAACACTGTGTGCAGCAGTGTATACTGTATATCTGAAAGTACAGGTGGAGTGTGATGGAGAGGACATGGAGTGCCAACTTCTCCGGCCATCTACAGATGTTGACCGTGTTTTTGCTGGCGGTTCTCCAGTGGTGCTCCAAACAGGAGGTATTTCGGACACCCAGCTCAGCTGCCTATAGACAATTTGGATGTGGCTGAGTACCTGTCAGCTCATGCTATAAGACCCTGGACAGAGGAACTGACCCGGAAAGGATGAACCAAGGGGCTTATCAATTGTGTGCAAAAATGACAATCCCATTGCTGTACATAGAATTTCACCATTTCAACAGTGCTGCATATAATACCATTGTAGCAACACTTAGATATGTCGGATCAATCCAAAACTTTCAGACAGTGAACATTAGGTGTTTTAGATCATTTTTGAACAAAAAACTGAAAATCGAATTTTTGGTCTGTGGTCATATTTTGGCGTGCTCTGGCTCATATACATATATACTACTACTCACCATGCCCCAGCATAAACTGAACGAAGATCTTGATGACCGCCTGGCCATTCTCCCTCTGCTCATGGATGATGACCTGTTGAGCTACACCGAAGCGGCCACACTCATCCTTGACTTCAGCAGCTAGCTCGCTATCCACTTCAGCAGGTGTCACCATGTTACGCAGCACGATCACATTAGACTTCAACACACAAGCAAGTCGGAACCACGTGTGCGCGCGCGCGCGCACACACACACACACACACACACACACACACACACACACACACACACACACACTGTTAGTGTCACCTAGCGGCACTTTTATTTTCTTTTAATTTTTTTATAAAAAGAGCCCAAATGCAAGGCATCGGTTGCACCAAGTTTCTAACCTGGCTTCAACGTACTTTTCAAGCTGACACAAGTGGTAGATAGGCCCACTGCTCGAAGAGTACACACACTGACCTGGGGGCAGAGATTCTTCACATAAAAGCCAGGTGAGCAAGTTCGTACTGTTTCACTTCGTAGCTTCCGTTTCACAAAGGAAGAACCTGCTACACACTAACACAAGCACACAGGCCCTTCTCACCTCGTCCCTGCGCTGCAATTTCTGCATCAGCATGAGGCGTGCAGAGCCACCGGAGATGTGCATCGCCTCCTCATGGTGGATGCTCTGTTCTTGCGCGTGGTTCACCGCCACAGCATTGGCCGCATGCAGCTTGGACAGGAAGTTCCCTGCAGCAACTGGCAGGCCTCCGCTACTTGTAGTCGGCACACCTTGACATGCGCAAACAGCAGAGAAAGGCAATCAGACAGAACAAGAGGAACATAGACGGCATTCTATCACTGGTATGCGGGGAGTAACTAAACGAAACCAGCTAGGAGTTCAGTATGTTAGTGTAGGCTTTACTATTTGGACTGCATGTCGACAGCGATAGAAACAAAGATGATACACAAAACCAACGCGACATGAAGCAGAAACAGGTGACATCATTAGAAATTGGAACGTTGTAAGTCCTAACGCGCCAGATGAGAGTGTGTACGTGTCTACGTGTGTATGTGGCCCCAGAGATCAAGCTCACAAGGAGCAGCGGAAGCTAGTCTCCACTAAATCGAACAGAAGTTAGCATCCACCGTCACCGTAACGAGTCAGCGAGGTTCGGTCACAGCTGCCACTGTCCGTTTGTCGCGGCCTAGCCTCTCGGCAGCTGTAGGTTCTTTCCCCCGACTGGTGCGTCTTCTTCTGCTGCGGCCGATGCCTCAATAATGCTATGGGTTGCAGCGTTGCAGGCATAGCCCAGCAGGCGCAGGCAGGGCAACTTACACAAGACCAGGAAGAAGTGGCCGGCAAGCCACAAGGATAGCAATCATCCATCTTGCTGTGTGTGAGAGATCATACGTAGCAGTGCAACACACACATACCCAGGCTTAGAAATATGTCAAGAGTCGTAGCAGTGCCAACACACACACACACACACACACACACACACACACACACACACACACACACACACACACACACACACACACACACACACACACACACACACACACACACACACACACACACACACACACACACACACACACACACACACACACACACACATATACCCGGCCTTAGATACATGTCTAGCAAAGCACGCACACAGCGTCACCTTAAAGCCTCACATACTCGCGCACGGCCGTATGTTCACAAAAGCACACGCCCGCACCAGCACATACACGCACTCCTTTTTGACGCCACGATTTAACAGATTACAGAAGGTACTGTGTCAAAGCTGCTTTCGGCCAAGTTCCAGTAATCACCAATGGTGACCAGCGTGCACATGTCCAGTGGTCCACATGTCTTACAGGCAAGCATGAGAACAACCGCGTATGTTTTAGCACTGGCAGGCTGTAGTGTGCTGGCGGAGTGTTGCTTCACACACAACACGCAGTTCAGGACAGCACCATTCTGCTAGAACTATTCAAGTCAGGCCTGGCATCAAAGATCAAATGGACAAGCACGCCAGTAACACGCTCACTCCCTCAAAATTACTACTTCCTCCGTATACAAAAACTTCGTGACTTTTTTTCAACTGTGTTTTTGAGCAAGAACCTACTCAGCGAACTGCGCCAAAGGCCGTCATCGACAACCTACATTCATGTTGAGGTAAGTTTGGTTGATCCCGAACAGATTCTCCATGGAAGCCATGCGTGTGAGGACGTTGCCGACAGGAACTCACGAGTCAAATGAAAAAAAAACTAACACCTTGCTCGAAATCGACACCGTGACGAAGTGGAGCTTGCGGCTGGAACACGGAGTCCCGCGGCACTCGCTGCCCTGAATTGAAGCTGGCCAGGCTCGTACTTGCGGTGCGCGGCCCCAAAAGATCCACGCAGCGTGAGAACATAATTATTTCGGTTCCGCTCGCATGGCAAGATGAAACATTTCAGTCGTCCTGCAACCAGCGCAGACTCCGGATCGGAATGTCGACGACCTGGCTTTCTTCGCCTCTCTCCAGTCAGACGTCTCCTTAGTCGCCAAGGGGAATCGCAGGGACCTCCTCGAAGCCGTTGTAGCATGCTCGGAGGATTATCCTGCCGAGAAAATGCGAAGCTTGTGGATGTACTTGAGCGACTCGTTTCATGGCATAATGGAGGTCGCGGGTTGGAACGACTGAATATAGTCGACACCGATTCTTACACAGCTCTGGAAATGAAGAGGGCGTAGCCGAAGTCCTGCGTCATATCTGGAGCTGAAAAGAATCTGAGCGAAATGCGAGCGGACGCAGCGATTGTTGGCGATGCGGAGTCAGCGTCGTCAGGTGACAATAGGGAGGTTTAGTCCCACGTAATCCGTGGGTACTTTACGTGTGTGTACCACGTGATACTCAGTGACCCACGTACAGACGTTTTCTGATTCACGACATACCGTGTATGGAGGCTCACCCACGTTCCGCCAGAACGTGGGTGAAAATCAGAATGGAGTGCATTGTGCAAGCTGTGAGGGTGCTCAGCTGAAGAAGTTTCCGAAGCACGAAATCAAAATATTGGATGGGCTTCTTGGGCCCGGATAGCTTCGTCTTTGACCAGGTTTGGGCCTTTCGCTTCATGCTTTTGTTTGTTCCGTGTGACTAAACACAACATTGCAACGTGGGTGCCCTTCATCCACTTTACGTGGATCACCCACGTACGCGTTTCCGTTACGTGGGAACTAAACCTCCCTAATGACACAAGCGACGAAGACTCTGAATAAACTCAATCTCATTCGTCTGACTTGCTTTTTTCTTTGTATATAGCTTGTAAACAGGTTAGACAATGCCACGAGTGTTATTCCAAGTCAAATGGAACAATTCCAGAGCTGTGCGCAGCCTTCAAAAAAGAGTCAAGAAGTTTTTTAATACGGAGGAAGTAGTTAGTAACACACACACACATACACACACAAAACACGCACACACACACACACACACACACGAGCGCGCACGCACAGAGCTAGAAAAGGGGTCTCTGAAACACCTGGAAACAAAAACAAAGGCAACACGGTCAGAATGTGCGGTAACATACCAACTTGGGGTAAATTCTGAGCGGCTAGTGTAGTCGAGGCTGGCACTTGCAGTGCAAAAGGTGGCGTGACAGCCTGAATCAACACACACACACACACACACACACACACACACACACACACACACACACACACACACACACACACACACACACACATGTACACACACACACATGTACACACATGTACACACACACACACACACACACACACACACGTACACACACACACATGTACACACACACACACACACACACACACACACACACACACACACACACACACATGTACACACACATGTACACACACACACACACATGTACACACACACACACACACACACGCACATCAATTCCCGTGCACTACAACACCGTGGTCATTCCAACAAGCAGCCTGAAATAGAACACATACACACACATACATATACACACACATATATACACACACACACTCTTGCGTGGGGTAGTGCCTTTGCTATTTGCGTTATGCAGAGCTCACTGACTTGTCAGTTTGAGCACTCTGGCAAGGTACGTTCGGGCCTGATTGGAAATTTTTATTTCCATTGCTATCAGGTTCGGCCTCATTTCCTCTGTGCTGCGCTGACGAGTCCACAAAGGACGAAACAGTTCTGTCCGCAGATTGAGTATTTCGCTCCTGCTCTTGTAGCAGTTGAGCACTCTTGCGTGGGGTAGTGCCTTTGCTATTTGCGTTATGCAGAGCTCACTGACTTGTCAGTTTGAGCACTCTGGCAAGGTACGTTCGGGCCTGATTGGAAATTTTTATTTCCATTGCTATCAGGTTCGGCCTCATTTCCTCTGTGCTGCGCTGACGAGTCCACAAAGGACGAAACAGTTCTGTCCGCAGATTGAGTATACACACATATATACACACACACACATATATACACACACGCACGCACGCACACACAAATCCGGACGCCCCTAATCTGAGCACGTCCGCCTACCAGGCACCTTTCTGACCCATCTAGAGTCACAAAAACCGGCTTTTCAAAGAAAACCAACCCCCAAAAACTATTGATTGTCATAAAAAAATGTTTACTTGCATGCAGTAAGTATGTAAATGTATGTTCTGAGTCACGGTAAATTCCTAGTTATGTGCAGTGTTCGGTCCCAACGCGCCTGGATTAGGGGAGTTTTACCGTACAGCCAAAGTAGGCACTGAACTCAGCCCAATGAAGGGAAAGGTAAAGGGGCACTCCGGGAATTTTTCGGTGGTGTGTTCTCTTCATGGGGGCTTTATTTGGCCCCCAAGGAATGGGGAATCGCGAAAACTAGACCCAAAAAGTCGATATATGAAGCCAGGGAGGGCCTTTGACATGCGTTACACATCACCCCGACTTCGCGTCAGCTTGTCTAAACAAAAACTGTTCTGACCATATGCCTCACGGCGTATAGAGAATTTCGGGATCCTCGTACTCGGACCAGTGAAGTCGTCCGCTCCAATCTCCTGGCCCTCATCAGGCTGTGCTTCTACCAGGGGCACCTCAGGAGGTCCTTCAGGTTCCTTAGAGTATGGCCGCAGTTGTGAAGCTTGGGAATGTCGACCAAACATCGTTCTTCATCACCAGAAAATTCAAACAAGATCTTCAAATGCAGAGAATTTGAATACTAAGCACACGTGACGTCATCAAAACCATCAAAAGACGAGACAAACTTGGCCCTCCCTGGCTTCATATATCGACTTTTTGGGTCTAGTTTTCGCTATTCCCCATTCCTTGGGGGCCATATATAAAGGCCCCTATGAAGAGAATACCCCACCGAAAAAATTCCCGGAATGCCCCTTTAATAACAGGAAACAGGGTACTCACTTTGCAAATGCGCATGTAGCTTCCACCCATCTGCATGAGATTCATCTTATTCACGGCAATTTCCACTGCTTGCGCCGTCTCGAACTCTGCATAGCCAAATCCTCTACAATGCAGGACATCAAATACGCAGGCAAAAATACACAGTTAGTTAAGGAACAATCGGATTAATATGCTTATGCCAAAATATGACATTGTCAGTCGAATGGCGGTCAATGCTGAACACCATATACTAGTACCGTAAAAGTCCGTAAATAAGTATGTATTTACTTTCGAATTTAGTGGCCACACCCGTACTAACTTCCGGGCGGGTCCTGACTTTCGGGCACGAACTAACTTTCGGACCTGACTTACGTGTAGTGGAGAAGTCATTTCATGTAGATGTACATGCTACATCACAGTACATGCTGCATGTGCGCATCGTACCGGTACTTATTTCGGGCAGTATGTATATCGGGCTTGACTTGACTTCAACAGACAGCCAAAAGAATGAAGGGGGTATTTCTTTCGGGCAGCTACTTATTTACGGACTTTTACAGTACTCTATTAGCTGCAAACAGCAATATACATGGTATATGCAAGCCTTGCCTGATAGGTAACATGTTTTCACGGTGACAGCGTGAACAAGACCATACATGTACAGTGCGTCCTCGCCTTGTTCACGCTGTCACCGTGAAAACAGCACTAGATATGTAGCTACGACGCTACTAAATCTCCAGACAGTTACCTACAGATAAAGAGAGAGCTGCATGCTAAGTCTTCAAACTATTATGGTAGGGCACATTGAACTGATCAAAGCTTTGTTACTTTTAGAAGGTGTAATTCAATCCTGGCAGGTCCATGGCTCTGATGGTGGGTCTTACACAGGTGTCACCCAGATGTGGGTCTTACACAGGTGTCACCCAGATATGGGTCTTACACAGGTGTCACCCAGATATGGGTCTTACACAGGTGTCACCCAGATATGGGTCTTACACAGGTGTCACCCAGATATGGGTCTTACACAGGTGTCACCCAGATATGGGTCTTACACAGGTGTCACCCAGATATGGGTCTTACACAGGTGTCACCCAGATATGGGTCTTACACAGGTGTCACCCAGATATGGGTCTTACACAGGTGTCACCCAGATATGGGTCTTACACAGGTGTCACCCAGATATGGGTCTTACACAGGTGTCACCCAGATATGGGTCTTACACAGGTGTCACCCAGATATGGGTCTTACACAGGTGTCACCCAGATATGGGTCTTACACAGGTGTCACCCAGATATGGGTCTTTCACAGGTGTCACCCAGATATGGGTCTTACACAGGTGTCACCCAGATATGGGTCTTTCACAGGTGTCACCCAGATATGGGTCTTTCACAGGTGTCATACTGATGATGGGCCGCACTGTGAGTCAGGAATAGTTCGCACGCTATTATTTTAAAAGTTTTTACTTCCGTATGCCGAATGAGTATGAAGTTAAAACGCACACTGAACTAGTCTAATCACAGCAAAAGAGACATACTGGTATTCTACGTACATGGCGGTCAAAGCAGCGGGAGCGGCAGCAGCGGCAGCAACAGCAGCCACAGCAAAAGTGTTAGCAAGCACTTACCGGTGACCTTTGTTTCCGTCAGCCGACAGTTGCAGTGATCGAAGAGGACCGCATCGCTCAAATGTACTACACACAGAATTGAATGAAAACGTAGAGGAGGGGAAGATGCGTGTGAAGTGTTTTTAGCTACGACGGATCAGGCATGCTAGACTTGTTTGCAAGAACCAATATGGCCGACCAGGTCTGCGCTGTTCATCTGCAGAAGGCTATTCGGGAAGGGGTCAAGCAATGACCTCACCCTACACACACCTTCAAAAAATATGTTGTGCCACGGCAAGTGACTGTAGTGTAGACCTGATACCTGTCAAGCCCCGAAGACAAGATATTTGAACGTAACAAGAAGACCTCGTTTTGTTTGCCTTCAGACAGGAGGAGAGACTCAACTCCTCTGGTACTCACGCCAAACTGTAGCTGAACCTCTTACCATATCTGGCAAAGAGCCTGGGACCTACACAAGCTGCCTCTCGATACAATATCCTCGTAGCCAATATACAGCGCTGCTCAATGAAATCCAATCGCATGAGTCAAGTTTGCACCCTGCACCAGTTTACTGTCCTAGTGTCCGCAGGTCTAGGGCTGCACAGCGCCGCGCATGGCTTTGAATCGCTTGACCGGATCTCATGGAGCACATTACTATGTATACAAACGGATGCATACGGGCAGTGTGCTGAGAGTGCACTGTGCACTGCATACAGCGAAGCAGGGTTCTAACCAAAGCGTAGTGTAGTGCACAGTACAGCAGTGGAGTAAGGCTAGCTTGCGGCAACACTGAGTTTCATGCTTAGCGCAATCATCAGGCAACCGTGCATGCAAGTGAAACTCCACTTTGGCAAGGGATGCCTTTACGCAGAAGCTGTCGGTCAGCTTCAACTGCACTACTTCGCGCATACACTCTGAAGAACAGGACACATAGATGTATTTATGGCAGTGAGTGTGGGTAGCGGAGCGTAACGTTACCTTCTGACATCAGACTCGGGTACGGCCGTACTGACGGCGCTGACGTACACGCGGTTGTACATCTGTGCCTCCTTGATCAGCTTGTCAATGTAAGGCGCTGCCGCCGGAACACTGCTGGGACGGCCAACCTGTCGTAATGCAACACAGGAGCATAGCACAACCAGCAAGGCGCAGTCAAGAGCATGGCAAAGAATCTGCGTCAAAGACGACAGGCAGGCGCATTCAGCCCTCAGATATCTTGACGTTGCAATTGCAAAGATTGCAGCAAGAATCAACACGTGGCCACACATACAGACAATGGTACGTTACGTACCTTCACATTGCGGCCACCCAGGAGAACACCGTTCATCTGATCGAGAGCCAACTGAGCTGCCTCTGGTACAAAGTATTCAATGAAGCAAAAGCCCTGAAATGAAACCAGAGAACAAAGGAGATTGATAAATCACATCTCGCAGTGTGTATTGATGCGTAGTAGTAGGCACACAGCAGCTACACCTACAAGCAGTGCTCACTATAACAAAACAGTGTGTGTGTGTGTGTGTGTGTGTGTGTGCGCGCACATGTGTGTGTGTATGCGCACGTGAGCGCATGTATGTGTGTGTGTGTGTGTGTGTGTGTGTGTGTGTGCGCGCGCGCGCGTGCATTCTTTTCGGTACCAGGGCTCTAGCCAGGTCGAAATAGTAGGGGGCAGGGAAACAGTTACTCCGTAACCCATTTTTTCCATTTTCAAAATAACTGTCTTGCAATGCGAAATGCAACATACGGTGCGAAGACCTGACTTCACCCCAGACAAATGTGCCTTTATGAGCACTCTACAACTGACTTTCGACTGCATTTTCGTTGAATGGCATGAAAAACACAAAAATCGGAAAATGAGTAGGGGGGGGGGGGGTGCAAACAGAGTGGGGGGGGGGGGGGCGCTGCACCCCCCCCCCCCCCTGGCTAGAACCCTGGGTTCGCTACATACTGCAGAAAATAACCTGGAACCAAGCTCTCACTGCTCCACATCAGCGAAAATAACAACAAACATAATTATGGTGACTTAGAAAGTCCCTGGTTCGATTCCCGGTGGTGTGACTGATGATTTTTTTCTATCTTTCATATCTGGCTTGAAAAAATGTTGAGTTTCGGAGAGTATTGAGCAGTACGTGGCATGTGGCCTCTAATTTCCTACTTTGAAATTCTCCGTGAAGTCCAAATTTGAAATTAGAAAAGCAGATTTTAAATTATTGTGAGTCTACAAATTTTTGGCGCGTTTAAATTTCGGCTGCATTACTATTTCAGCCTTTACCATTGCTGCCTGTATACACTGCCACACTGAAACTAACTTGCAAAACAAAATTCCAATTTTAAGCCAAACATGTCGAGGCCGAAAATAGCCGAAACTCAACACCAGTATGCGCCGAATATTGGCGGATTTACAGTAGCCCTTTGGAGTTGCTAGGGTTGGAGCAGTAATCAGCTAAAACCGACCCATAGCTTTTGTTGAAAAAGTGGAGAAAATCATGTTTTGTAGAATTGCAGAGTGGTCCTTTTTCAATAAGAAAGGAGGCGACACCTTGCCGTTACCACTCTCTTGTGTGCTCCCAGCGCCATTCGTCACCAGGTGGTTCGTTCTTGAGTCTCTGTAAAGCTGCACACGAGAGGTAGTTGGCCTAGACTGCATAGACTAATGCTAAGCTGGCAGTGCTTGCAAAGAATTTGCAACTAAAAACACAACAATCGATCGCACTTTATTCAAATCTGTTGAATGAGTAGTTACACAGCTATTCTTGGAGGAGGATACGTCTGGCTACATGACGGCACCTGAAGTCCCAGCATCGGCACTGTATTGACTACGTGCTTTTCCGTGAAAGTCAAATGCAGTATGTTATGGACACCCATGTGATTCGCGGTGCAGAGTGTGGTACTGACCACAACCTCTTGTGTAGGGCCTATCGCATCCCGGGGAGGATTGTGCCCGGCCCGAATCAAAATCAAAAGCGCCAGAATCAGCGTTTTGCAGTTCAGGAGCTCCTGGCTGTGCCGAGTATGACTGAGGAGAAGCGAGAGGTAGTCGAGTGCACCCGAGCGGAGTGCGGTCACTGTCTGTCTGGTAACTTGGAGAGCTTTGATGCTGACGGACCCATCGAGGAGCAGTGGTCTTGCATTAAGACAGCTATAACATCATGAGCTAAGGCTGCGAAGCGGCATGAAAGGCGTAGCAGTCCTGACTGGGTTGTGCAGAGTGCAGGTATCTTAGAGCCCATTCTCAAGACTCGGAATGATTTGTATCGTAAGTGTCACTCTGCTTCCCGGGCAGATGTGGTGGCTTACAGGGAAGCCCGTGGTAATGCCCGTGCGGCTGTTCATTCTGCACAGGAAAGCGGGCTTCGTAACATAAGCTGGAAGCTGAGTGGTTCAACACCAAGAGTGCATGGGCTGCCATTCAGTCTATTCAGTGATACTTTGGGGGCATCGCACCCATGAAGGTGCAATCAATCCATGATGCCGACGGCATTGTGTGTACGTCTTTGGAGGCCATCTCATCTAGGTGGTATCAGCACTTCTCAAACGTTTTTATTGCCAGGAGCCTATGAAGTGGCCATTTTCAGTAGCCTGGAGGTTAGGCCTGTCGACGAGAAGCTCGCCATCCCGTCATCTCTTGAGGAAGTTGGCCGAGTGATACAGGCGATGGCTAAAGGCAAGGCAGCTGGCGCGTCAGGGTTCCTGCCCGAGCTTGTCAAGTATGGCTCTGATGAACTGCATGGATGTTTGCTGGGCTTACTTCTGCTTGTCTGGTCCTCAGGTGGGGTTCCTCACGAGTGGTGGAATGCTCAGTTAGTGCCAGTCCCGAAGCGTGGAGATCTCTCGCTTTGTGACAAATTGCCGTGGGATATCTCTTTCGGAGGTGGCGGGCAAGATGACCGGTTGCTTAATACAGAACAACCTTCAGTCTAGAGCTGAGAATCTCCTTCCAGAGTCTCAGTGCGGATTCCCACCTAACAGCGGGTGTGCTGATACTGTGTTCACTGTTCGACAACTCGTGGAAAAGGCATACGAGCATCGTACTCAAATCTTTTGTATCTCTGTGGACTTGGGAAAGGCCTAGACTTGTACTAGGCCCATGACACGCATACACACTCGCGCGTGCACGCTCACACACACACACACACACACACACGCACACGCACACACACACACACACACACACACACACCGGCAGCACATGTACAGTGCGTATCGGTTATAGCATGGTCGTGTAAAAGAATATACTGCCTACAAGAATGATCCCTCATGTTTTCATAATCATAACATGGATTTCAAGTGCACATTTATTCTTACAAGCAATTTTATCCCATAGTAGAATATATTGGTCCTAAGAATGGACTTTGTGTAGCGAAACATGCCAGGTTAGTACAAAGTTTATCGCCTGTAGTAATAACATCTGTCCAATTCCGTTCTGACGTGACTCTCGTTGCGTCGTAGTGCTGCAGATTCAACTGTTGCGGCCATGTAACTCATTTTGCATAGCCAGTAAGCCTATGGCCCGTATGGGACTATGACCAGCCACATGCACAGAAGTACTGTGTTGCATGTACGATGATCTTCCTGCCCCTGCGCACATGCATATGATATGCCACACTTGATTTATCGTGTGTAAGAAATATCGGAAATAAGACCACGCTATAACCGATACCTACTGTACATGCATATGACCAGTGGCTCGTACACATACCTTGTGCTTCATGGTGACACTATCCCATGACATGTCCAGTGACTTGATCGGCCCAAACGGACTGAAGGCCTCCTTGACCTGATTTTCGTGCATCTCAAAACTGATGCTGCCAATATAGATCCTGTAAATACACACAGCAAAGTTACCCTTGGCTTGCGAAAGTGCTCAACACACGAAGAGGAGCTTGCGACACAAGTTCAGAATGGAGGGAAACTAAAGATTCGTTTCCACACCGAGTTCAACAGCATTGGGCTATTCATCAGACATCACCGACGCTAGTGAGGAGGGTGCCTACGGCTATAAATGGGGGAGGTGCGCAGGAAATTACAATAAAAGTTGATGCAAGCTTAGCGCAATGCATGCTGAAAGTAATATATCAGTGGCGATATGTGTGGCAGGATATAGGTGATCGATCATGGTGGCGTCATCGCCGCAGGTTTCACCTTGCTATTTCTCGCTATGATCTCCTGCTGCTCAGTCCGATGCGCACCGCGCTGAAAGTCACCACCCATTGCATTATCGCAACCTACCAAGCCCATTGTCCATTGCCAAATAAGGAAGGTATGCGTAATGCATGTGAGTAGGCTGGGATCAGCAATGCACTGTTCAACACCCCAGACGACCATGCCCAGGTGGCTGTGTGGGGTGTTTGTGGTACAAATTACGACATTGCACAATGGGCTTATTGATCACCCCTTTCCTGCCATGCATATCACCACTAATGTATAACTTTCAACGCACATTGCGCTAAGCTTGCATCTAGTTCCGCTGCAATTTCCTGCGCACCTCCCCCTTTATAATCCCACGCACCCTCCTCATTATCGTCAGTGCTGTCTGATGATTGGCGCAATGCCATGAAACTCGGTAGATACAACCAATCTTTAGTTTCCCTCCATTTTTGAACCGGTGCAGATCCTGAGAGCATACAGCGAGAAACAAAAATTGAACAGGCATCGGCTATCTAAAAACAGAGTGCCAACAGGCGCTTTACAATCTACTGGCCGAGGTTGTCACTGATTACTCTTGGACTTGCCGGAAAAATAAGTGCTCGTTTAAATTTGGCTTTGAAGAATTTATTTGCCATTGCCAACAGGTTCGGCCTCATTTTCTCTGTGCTGCGCGGAAGAGCCCACAAAACAGTTCTGTCCGCAGATCGAGTGCCTCCTTTCTACGTATCTTAGCTAAATGGCCTGCTGCAAAGTGGCACAATCAACACAGTAAAGTGCAAACAGTTTCATCCTCTAATCCGTGGCATTGGTGCGCACACTGTGCAGAACCAAAGTAGCTCATGGGAGCTCCTAACAGTGGCAACGTTCCAAATCAAGGTTAACTTCGGCAAGGTTCCAAGCACTGCCAACTTCATCCTAGAATCGGTGCCCGTAGGCCACTGCAGCTGAAGCACTACTTCAGAAGAAAGTACACCAAAGAATAAAGAAGATGCATAATCACGATCAGAAAGAGTTGGGTGACACCAAGTACACATGTACTGAATTGAATGTTTCGAACTTAGCACTTACCGGCACATCACTGAAAATGCCTTCTGTCGCTGCGATGACTCCTGGGCTTGCATCAGCTGTGGACAAGCAGCACCGGTACACAAGAAGGTCGTGTCAAGCAGGACCTGTGTCTACATGGTGAAGGCTTGAGACAGCGTATGCACTGCACACAACCCAGTGCATATGCTGCCTGCTCTGCGCACAATTACGATGTACTACACTATATGGACAACAGGACAAGTACAGTTGCGCTCGGTGAAATCCGACCCAAAGTACTAGTACTTATTCGGCGCCCTCAACTTGCACGGCCCTTGACGCCCTGCAAGTGGTACGAATGCTGCTGGACGTACTCATGTACAAGTACAATGATGCAATCGGAACTGGTCCAGGACGGCAGTTTTGCAGCGTGGGTCGGACTTCAGTGAGCACAACTGTATATGTACAGCGTTGGCAGCAAGTGAAATCCGACCTGATGAAAACAGCAGCAGCCAGGACACTGTGTGGCACGTGTGCTATGAGCCCTGGGCTGTGCTCTGCTTCATCCACGAGGCCGGGTTTCATTTGCCTGCACTGTACAGCTGCACTTGCTTTTTCAGGATCCGTAGCACTGAACACCTGCTAAAGCGGACATGCATTCCACTCGCAACCATGACCAGATCTGGGCAGAAGAGAAGATGTCTCACCTGCTGTAGCTGTGTCTGCTGCTGTTGCTGGACGAACTGCTGCTGACGCGTAATCCCACTAACATCTCTCTGCAAGGCAGAAACACCAGACCACCAGACCCACTAGAAGATCAAAGACCACACCAGACCCCCCACTAGAAGATCAAAGACCACACCAGACCCACTAGAAGATCAAAGACCACACAAAGCCCTGCAATTCATACGCGATCGCCAATTCGATCGAGAACAAAACGGGCCCGGCTCGCGTTTCTTGTTGACTGAACTTGGCAAACGACGACTGCCATGGAGATAATTCAGAATACCACACTCCCATGCACACCCAAGGTGCAATCTGAGCAGAAATCAAACGGAGCCTGGTTCGGAGTAGCTGTGGGCTCTTGGAATGCATTGTTGACTTGCAGTGACAACTCAAAGGTGTGATCATGAACCAACTGCTGTCGAGTATCTAGCTAAAAGTCTAGCGCGGGAGAAGAAGGAACTTGTGCGAAAATGATCAGCACGCGATTTCGAGCATTTTGACATACGTATCAGTGCATGGGGCTGCATTTGGATAATTCGAAGTTCCTGATAATTCGAAGTTGGGGCCTGGCAATTTGAGGTTCGAATTAAAGGGAGTCTACCTGTACATGAAAAAGTACACAACCTATGAAAACTGTGCGTGCATCTCGTACACCGACCAAAGGTCGTACAAACCCGTCAAAACCCTAGGGTTTGTGCGATCCCTAGTCAAGAGGGAGGGAACTGTTGCGTACATTTCCACCAAGGTCGAGGACACATCTGTAGTACAGTACGTACGGCCTCACACACTTCAGAGTCATACGAGGATAAAATCAGTATCACTTCCCCGACAAGAAGTCAGGGAGGAATTAGAAGTTTCTTCTGGGACCGATTTCTACCAATACGATTTCCACTAGTGCTGAGTCGGGTAGCATTTTCTCCGGGTATCGGGTAGTTTTCCACGGGTAGCACGGGTACCCGATCGGGTAATGTCCCCATGGTAACACCACAATGCACCCCTTCCCTTACGCACTGGGTAGACATGCAGAGTATTACATGAATTTGTACACATGCACTGTACATGTCATAATTATTATGTCATATGCGACTTCGGGTTTCCGGGTACTATTCTGTACCCGACTACCCGAGGTCCTCACGGGTAGCACGGGTACCTGTGCACACCCCTAATTTCCACATAACAGTTTCTGATAATTCGAACCTCGAAAGTCCCATGGAAGCCACTTACATAGAAAATGTGTGGGATTTGTGTTGATAATTCGAAGTTAGCAAAGAATAATTAGAAGCTCACTTTATTTTCTTTAAATCAGTTTGGTTTGCATGCGCAGACAGTTCAGTGTCCCCTAAATCTGTGTCTGAGGTGCGTAGTGCAACTCTGCGTGTCCATGCGAGCATTTTGACATACACAATGTGTTGTGGATACATGTTTGGATAATTAGAATGTCTGGATAATTAGAAGTTTTTTCCTGGCATTTTGGGGTTCGAATTATCAGGATTCCACCTGTAGTATATATTGTATACTCCAACCTTGCATTCTTATATTCAGATGGTTCTTGCAGAAATTTCTCTTGGAAGAGGAAGAAACGGGAAGAAGAAATGAACGAATCTCGATGATCCCTCGAGTGCGGAAACGCCTAACGAGCCGTGGCCTTGAGAGGCATCGGCATGTTTGTGGGTTATTTTTCTCCACACAATGGCTCCACGTGTATTCTGTGGTAGTTCACATGTGTAGACCCATAAATACGGGAATATCCAAATTTCAACCACCTCTGAAGTACGGTAAACTTGGAGAGCTTTGGAGAACCTCCGGGGAAATTTCGAGAACGCTTTCCCAACTTGTCGGAGATTCTCAGACTGCCTGAGGTGTTACGAGCACAAGTCTACAGATCACTGCCGACAATGGCAGGTCCACGCAACTCCGGATTGGTTATATTCATGACGTCAGCTTTCATTCGCCACCACTGCACATGTTCATACACAGCAGTAATACGTACCCATTGCGATGTAAGAGCTTCGCAGAACTTCTTAGCCTGGCGAAGATTGGCTTTCTGGGTCATGGAGAGGTCCTCGTAGGGGATGATACAGCCGCTGGAAGACGACTCATGATGATCACCATTTTCAAAATCATCTAGATCACAAAAACAATATTGAGAAGTTAATGAATGCACTGAACTCACTGCATTTGTTGCATATTTCAAAACTCTCAAGCGGCCACACCAACGCATGTTGGGAAATGCAGGGAAAGATTACAACTACATACAATACTGTTGTTCTACTCACCCACTTCATCCCAGACACTCCTCTTCACGGGGCGAATGTCGAAGTCCTACAAGAAGTTGAGAAAAAGATGCCCCGTTACAATTTCATCTGCTTTTTTCTATCACGAATGGCACTATTCTCACCATTTCCGTACACTGTGTCCGCTGACGTAGACACAACTAGAAGTGTTCTATCAGTGCAGCCTAGTGGATGGGATCAACTCATCTTCGGTGCAGTAACAGGGAAAGAAACAGGATTATGTTTGTAACTAACTTTCGTTGAGGGATAATTATTGAAAATAATTATTACTATTAGACACCCTTAGCAAAAAACGTTATGTTGTAACGGTATTATCGTAAGGGGGAAAATAGCGTGATTTGGGTTCGACCTTTAGCAAGATGCACGCTATTTTTAGTACGCTGTTGCCACGAGAGTAGCTTTGATTTCGCGCGGTACAACCATTTTTGTCACCATATACGCGATACAAGGTGAAATGCGTACGGACTATGCAATATTTGGCCAAAACACGTACCGTTGGTCACAACGATAAATCAGCCCCCATAACGTTTATACGCTGCAGCTTCAACGCTATTTGGGTGATCAAGGTACGAGTACCGTAAAAAATAGCGTTACCGTTGTTTGCTAAGGGTGTCTAATGTCTTCAAAACGAAACAATCAACACAAACAAAACTTTGCCGAACAATTTCCCCAAAAATCACGAAAGTCACTTCAGGTGTGACGTATAATCCACCATGCATGCCAATTATTTTTTGTACGCCGCGTAGTATACAACGTGGCGTATCACCGTATACGCACAGATCAGGTGAACATGCATGAAAATGAAACGTGTATGATCATTCAAAAAATTCCATTGACGTGGATTGCATACACAAGATAATTTCTCATTTTGTTTGAAAGGTATTCAATTCGTACAGTTGTTGTTTGTTGTTGGATATACCTGTCGATAGCTTTGCAACCCATATATACGGCAATGGCGTCCGAGGACCTAGATGACGTTTTGGAGCCATCATTGCAGAACATTCTTGATCAGGACTCACTGAAATGGATTTTTGTTGGTGGAAAGGGAGGCGTCGGAAAAACAACATGCAGGTAAAATACACTTCATAATTACCATGATATCATTGCATTTGTGATTGCCCGCACAAAAGGCTTCTGAGATATATCATTGCATGCTGATGTCTAGCGATTCTCTTAAAATGTTGGAGTCCAAACACATCTGATGTCGTGACACTTGTCGTCATAATAGTAATAATGATATTAAATCACTGTGATTGACAGCACGAAATTCACGTAGCACCACTTAACTTCGATATCTCCGAAGCGCTAACCAACAGCCTTCCAACTCGTCGTCTTAATAATAATAATAATAATAATAATAATAATAATCAACGCAATAAATAGAGTAAGCTGCGCACTCAGTACAAACACCATAAGCAAAACTTGTTTTCATGTATATAAAGAAGCTTGTTCCTAAACGTTTTCGTCGCCATCTCATCAGAGGATTACTGGCAAATCAACAAAAGCTCTTAACTCAATATATATACGCACAATGCAAGTAATAATTTAGACCCTAACTAGCGCGATAAAATGAGAGCTGAAAGAAACATTACACCATTCAACGATATCAGGTGACAACAGATGCGATAAATGCGATAAATTCACCACTAGAAAGTTACCATGCAACCACAAACGAGAACTACTGATCTAAATTCACAAACAATTTCAACGTAAACAAATTCTTTTTCTGCCTACACAAAATCGGCTTGGTGGTAAAAATGTAAATAGACTCCAATACACGCAAATACCTTTGACTACGTGAACGAGACCAAACAGAAAAGCAATTATCAGCATAACTAGAACCGGTATGTGGGTAGGACCCTTCAGCACCTGGAGGCACGGATCCACCAGCATGTGCCTCTTCACGTTATGCCTGTTGAGGCACGGTCGTCAAGGCCTAGACGAGGTCGTCCCCCAAAGATTGGTACTGCGACTGGAGGTGCACCCTCGCTGGGGACGGAACCAACTAGGGTGTCGTTGTCTTCTTCGTCGGCATCGGCTTGTTCGTCATTGCCTTCGTCTTTACCGTCTCTTCCTTCTATCCCGTCATCATCGTTGGTATCTGCGGTTTCGTCTTCTTTGACTTCCTTGGTACCGTCATCCGGTGTGTCCACCTCCGGTGGCAAAAAGCGTGGCCGGCCACCGAAGAAACCACCGGATGGTGTGTCTGCGGGACCAGTGACTCGCTCTAGGGCGAGGTTAGCAGAGTCTTTATCGTCTCCGTCGTTGTCGTCATCGTCGTCGTCAGCGTCTTCCTCATCTCCCTCCTCCTCTTCATCAACATCAACAGCCATTGGAACGTCAAAGGGAGCATCATCGCAGCAGGCAGTGCCAGTAACGGACGTGCCTTTGGTACTGACATCTACATCGGCCTCGTCTGGATTGGCAGTAGCGGCAAGGAATGTCAGGTCGGTTTCATTGTCACGTAATTCCAAAGTATGTACTGGTTCTAGTAGCGTTGTTAGGGTGTATGAATCTTCTATCGCCAACCATCTTGTTCAGAATAGTGATTGTCGTTCTAGTTATGCTGATGATTGCTTTTCTGTTTGGTCTCGTTCACGTAGTCAAAGGTATTTGCGTTTATTGGAGTCTATTTACATTTTTACCACCAAGCCGATTTTGTGTAGGCAGAAAAAGAATTTGTTTACGTTGAAATTGTTTGTGAATTTAGATCAGTAGTTCTCGTTTGTGGTTGCATGGTAACTTTCTAGTGGTGAAGTTATCGCATTTATCGCATCTGTTGTCACCTGATATCGTTGAATGGTGTAATGTTTCTTTCAGCTCTCATTTTATCGCGCTAGTTAGGGTCTAAATTATTACTTGCATTGTGCGTATATATATTGAGTTAAGAGCTTTTGTTGATTTGCCAGTAATCCTCTGATGAGATGGCGACGAAAACGTTTAGGAACAAGCTTCTTTATATACATGAAAACAAGTTTTGCTTATGGTGTTTGTACTGATGGGCAGCTTACGCTATTTATTGCGTTGATTACATTTTTATCTCCACGGAAGCTTTTTAATAATAATAATAATAATTTTTTAAAAGAGGTCGGAGGCGGATAATACTTTAAAACGAAGGTAAGTTATGGGTCGCAAATATCCACGCAAACACACATCCAGTCATAATAAGGCACTTGTCATAAGTATCCGAACGTTTTCGGTCCCTTCTCATCAAGGATTATACAGGGAATGGCTCAAGCTGGAAAGACTAAAACTTATATAGCGTAAAGATAATTAGATAACAACACTCGTGACAAGGTGGAAAATTATCAAGTTTAGCACGACACAAAACTCGAAGGAAAATAATAATAGTGACAACAACATAGTGAGCAAATTAAGTTACATTGTTACCACCTCGACGAGGAGTAACACCAAACAATTGTAGCGACAACACATTTTCTTTCTGTACGCAAAGTTCAGGATCTAACTTACGGATATACAAAGCTTCTAACACAGCCAAATGTAACGCACATCTACCACGTGACAATATTGAGAAAACATTATCACTGTACAACTCACGACAATTGGTACGGGCTGACAGATGTTGCTTGATTGACGAAGTGCGATTCTTAGCTCCATTGGGTGTTGTCTCCTCCAATGTCCCGTCATCTCGCCTCTTCGTGGCATCACCACTATCTGTCTCTTCGCGTTTCCGCGGCCTTCCACGTTTCTTGACACTAACCGTTGGGTGCGCGATACCCGGTGTCCTTTCCGTTACGTCTCCTCCATTGCGGATTTCTATTGAGCTTCTTGCTCCCACTTGTCCGGTGTCCGATATTGAGGTTAGTTTTCGCGGTCTACCACGTTTTCGAATATTGACTGTTGTTGTCACTTCCGTTGTCGTTGTACGTTCGTCCTCATCAGTCCGTATTTTCACTTGGCTTCTCGTCACCCTTTCCGACGCCGACAGATCCTTTGTCAGTTTCGTCAGTTTCAGTGGTAGACCGCGAAAACTAACCTCAATATCGGACACCGGACAAGTGGGAGCAAGAAGCTCAATAGAAATCCGCAATGGAGGAGACGTAACGGAAAGGACACCGGGTATCGCGCACCCAACGGTTAGTGTCAAGAAACGTGGAAGGCCGCGGAAACGCGAAGAGACAGATAGTGGTGATGCCACGAAGAGGCGAGATGACGGGACATTGGAGGAGACAACACCCAATGGAGCTAAGAATCGCACTTCGTCAATCAAGCAACATCTGTCAGCCCGTACCAATTGTCGTGAGTTGTACAGTGATAATGTTTTCTCAATATTGTCACGTGGTAGATGTGCGTTACATTTGGCTGTGTTAGAAGCTTTGTATATCCGTAAGTTAGATCCTGAACTTTGCGTACAGAAAGAAAATGTGTTGTCGCTACAATTGTTTGGTGTTACTCCTCGTCGAGGTGGTAACAATATAACTTAATTTGCTCACTACGTTGTTGTCACTATTATTATTTTCCTTCGAGTTTTGTGTCGTGCTAAACTTGATAATTTTCCACCTTGTCACGAGTGTTGTTATCTAATTATCTTTACGCTATATAAGTTTTAGTCTTTCCAGCTTGAGCCATTCCCTGTATAACAGGTATAATCCTTGATGAGAAGGGACCGAAAACGTTCGGATACTTATGACAAGTGCCTTATTATGACTGGATGTGTGTTTGCGTGGATATTTGCGACCCATAACTTACCTTCGTTTTAAAATAATAATAATAATAATAATTCACACACCTCGCATCTTCCGTGAACCTGTTAGACAGGAGCAGGGTTGACGCATCTGTCAATAGTGTCAAGCCAAGTTAGTCGATCTCCTGCAGCCCGGAGAGCGCTCTCCATGGAGAGATCCGCTGCCTTCAGGTCGTGCTGAATCTTATCTATCCACCGCAATGGTGGACAGCCACGTGTTTTTTTTAATGTCGTTTGTATTGGTGGATAGCTCCAGTGCTTGGAACGAGGCGGATTCTGAACGCTCTGTTATTATTTTTATAATATAGACATAACCTACGCGGAGACAACAGTTTAATTATGGCAATGAAAAGTATGAACTGCGCACTCATTCTAAACACACATCAAGGCGAAGGCGGTGGGGTAGTTCCAAGAACGTTTTCTTGTGATAGTCATCAGTTGGAATAACATTACATTGTTAATACGGGAGAAAAAAATAACGGAGTATACATGTATGGAGAGAAGGTGCAAATATCTGTGAAATGAGAAAGAGAAAAGGTGCAAACATTTGTGAAACAAGAAAGAGAAAAGGGTAGCGAGCAGCTTTTGGCCTGTTTAGGCCACACTTTGTTTTTTCTATGTTTCTCGTCGGCAAATTTTAACAAAAGGTACGCGGGCGGGCGGAAAAAAAACAAAAGCCAAGGAAAAAACAAGAACAATTTCTACTGAAAACTGTACTAGTATACATTTTACAATTTACATGTATATGCGTGATTGATACAAGACACTGCGTATACCATGTATACAGTACTACATTGTACAATCATGTACATGTAGTCCCATACATGATTGCACTACATTATCACATCAGCCCACGAATATCAGGCAAACTGCAACAATGTCAATGAGAGCATAAAGTTTGATTACGAGATGGCGAAGAGAACATACATTTATCTGCTATCGCATCAACAAACGTTTCCCACTCGTCATAAATTTTTGGTTTTGTTACTTCAACGTTCTTGTGTCCGCTTATGAAACTCTGGTCTCCGCTTATCAAACTCTTGTCTCCATGCTGCTCATCTTTTCCTTGCCATGCGTCTATTGCTTGGATTTTCTGCCTACGACATCGTTCCACAGACGCCAGTTGCCGCGGAACTCGTCCGACTTACTGTTCCTGGGACCCACGAGGCTCAGCTCAGCCAGTGAGCGACTGAAAGCTTCGTCATGACAGCCTTCATCGCAGAGAACGGACGAGGAGCGCTCCTTTGCTGCATGCTGTGGTGCGAACGTTTACGATTATTTATTGACGCATCTAGCTGCTGCAGCATGTGCAGTGTACATACATGTACACATGTACGTAGTATGAACTTTTTTTTTCTTCCGAAATTTCTGAAAACCTACGCGGGCGATGACGAGAAACATAGAAAAAACAAAGTGTGGCCTTATCAATAAAGTAATTTCACCTCCAACAAATGCGCTCTCTGGCTTTCAAATTAATTCTAGCCATTCATTATTCTCATCCATCACTGGTGAGACCCATAGTGGTCGAAACAGCGCTGTATGGAGGAAAAACTATTTTGTCAGTATCTACAACTTGGAGTCATGTTGCTGGTGTGTAAGGTCGGCCAGAGAGTGCGTTTAGTGGAGGTGGAATTACTTTATTGAGAAAGAGAGAAGGTGCAAATATTTGTGAAACAAGAAAGAGAGAAGGTGCACATATTTGTGAAGCAAGAAAGAAAGAATGTAAAGAACTCTTCCTCTCCTCTCCTCCATGCGCTCTCACAGCCGACTCACTGCTACCCTCGGTAGCCATTACACACACCAACAAGGAAGGGTTGCAGGTAGATACTGAAATTCCTCCTGACAGCTGTTTCGCCTTCATAAGGCTCATCAGAGAAGGTGATATTGAATAGTGAGTCGGCTGTGAGAGCACATGGAGGAGAGGAGAGGAAGAGTTCTTTACATTTTATTGGCCGAATAGTACCGTTCACCATTTGAAAAGAAAGAAAGAAGGTGCAAATATTTGTGAAACAAGAAAGAAAGAAGGTGCAAATATTTGTGAAAGAAGTAAGAAAGAGAGAAGGTGCGAATATTTGTGAAGCAAGAAAGAGTGTGAAAATAAAGCCAACTAACAATGGTGAGGAGGAGAGACCTACCGAGTGAATGACTTCGATGGAAGAGATCAACAGGATGCCAAATGCACCCAATTCGAGAAGATTGTCCTCATTGGGTTTGTTTTCTTGTGATAATGTTCTGTTGATGTTCTGTTTCCAGCTGCTCTTTGGCAATACGATTGGCTGAAGTGCGGGAAAAGGTTCTCATCCTTTCTACAGATCCAGCACATAACTTGTCGGATGCCTTCAAGCAAAAGTTCGGTTCTGATCCGCTGCTTGTGGAGGGGCATAAGAACCTCTATGCAATGGTAAGTGAAATGTGTCTCCTGCTCTGTGGTTGTGTTATAGTGTAGCTCTGGCATCGACGAGCTCGGGTGCAGGCAGCTTAGTCGGGCTCCTTGTATGTGTCCGGTGCTGTGTTCTTATTGCTGTAGACTAGGGCTGCTCGGAATGGTTTGCCTGACGGTGTGTGATGTGTTACCCAGTCCAACGTGTTTGTTTCCAACGTGTCTCTCTAACCCTCTAGCACTATATCACGATTAGGGATGCACTTAGTACTCAGACCTCCAAAAAATAGGGAAGAATCCGGGGTGGTGTGTCTGTGTGTGTGTGTGGAGGGGAGGAGGTACACAACATTGTTGAGTCCTGGTTGTTGTGTTGATTTAATCTGTACTTGCAGGAGATTGACCCAGTACCAGTGGTGGAGAAGGATAAGCTGGAGGAGTTGCTGGCTCGTGATGGTAAGTCTTATAGTAACTTAGTGCAGTTTCCAGTTTCCTTCTGGGCTGCTCTTGCTGCAGCTGCAGAAGTCTTGGGAAGTGCTTGATAATGGTCTGCGGTCCTAGTTGCTGGTGCATGTAAACTATAAGGTATGTTTCACATTGTTTTGCGGCCAGTTGGTTCTAAGTGTGGACTTCATAGGAAGACTGCGGATTTACTGTTCCAAGTCTCTTTAGGACAGTGTTAGCATTGGTATAAGCGTGATACGTTTCTTTTGTGGCACAAACCCCACAGGGTACCAACGATCTATTCATTTACTTGTCGGCCTATGTATTTTCTGTCCAAAGGCATTGGAGGTGGTCTCGGTTCGCTTTTCGGAGGCGACATCATGAAAACGTTTCCGGACCTTCAGGAAGTCATCAGCCTCACGGGTATCTTCAAGTAAGCAAAGTTCGTTTATGTGTGTTATAATACTATGCAGCTCCATTAGAGCTATGGATGGTGATGATAATAAGCCCATTAATAACTAATAATAAAGTGTGCGCTGCATGTGGAAATGTACTGTCCATGTAACCAAACATGAACATTCGCAGCAAAGTGTTTGAACGTTTTCTCACAGCCCTTATTGAGGATTGCATGCAATTGTACAGGGACCCTAGTATCGATAATGGAGTCGTTCACTGGGTTGCTGCTATATTTACGCAGTTTACTATGAATCAATGTACTACTGCATACTGCATACCGGTGGTCTATCATACCTGACCCACCTGTCTCTGCCGTGTTATGTGTATGTTTCCCTTTCGTGCTTCAGGAAACTGAAAGGCTTGGACTTTTCGGTGGTCGTGTTCGACACTGCGCCAACCGGCCACACTCTGCGACTGCTCTCCATGCCGCCGGAAGTGGAGCGCGGTCTAGGCAACCTGATGGCCATGAAGGACAACTTTGCTGGCATGCTGGGGCCGGTATGTTCAGCATACTGGTGGTCATGATGTTGCTGCTCTGATTATGGGTTTTGGTCCACGGACATATCCTGTGCCGCATATCATGGCGGCAATCCCTGTTCGAAGTAGCATCAACACACACAATTTAATAATTAGTCTGGGATGCTAAGCTGCCTGTGGGGTTCACGGTTGTGTTTGGAACTAGTGAGCAATGGAAATTCCTGGGTGGTTGCCTCATACCTTCATTTGTCTAAAAAAGCTCTTTGACTTGGAGTGCTGTGCCATGTTTTTGCATCTCAGTCAAACTGTTTCTTGAAACTTGTTCGCCACCGCAGCTCTCTGGAATAATGGGTCTACCAGCCATTGACTCAAATGTAATCTCATCGCGCCTTGCAGACGTTGTACCAGCTCTCAGAGATATCAATATTGAGTTCAAAAACCCGGTGAGTGATGAATGGCATTGCACGTTGTCTGTGCGTTGTGTTATTTCTACTACTTTCTAGTTTCTAATGCGAGTACTTCACACTCACACTCAGGCTGTTAGGTAGGATATCAACACATCACTGCGTATCACGCTGATCACATCTCTTCACATGCCTTCCACACCACGGCATGCGTATACAATTGGCTGTGCTTCCATGTGCGTGAAAATCAGCACATTCTCCCTTTGTTCTGTGTTTGTTCTCACTAATCTGAGCAATCTCCCAACTGCTGCTCCTGGTACCTATACATTGTATAAAAGCTGTTGCCCTGCTTAATAATTTTTCTGCCTGTATCTCAACTGACAAGAAGGCAATGAAAGTACTTGTGGACATTTTGGAATGTTGTTTGGAAAGAGCTTGAAGCTTGTTTTATTATTCTTTAGTCTGATTGCCTTCTGCTTCTAGTAATGTTCATCAGCACCCATGTTCGTTGTTGCAACCACTCACACATGACCATTTGGTCACTTGGTAGATTCGAACAAGCGAGCAAACAAACCCATTAAATGCCGCTGGACCCTGGCTCCGCTGAGCATGCTGCGTCACGCCTTTGGCAACGCTCGGGGATAATCTTCTGTTCCCTTTCTCACATGTGTCGTCAAATTTTCTGTGTGCAGGATTCCACCACGTTTGTTTGCGTATGCATTGCCGAGATGCTGTCTCTGTATGAAACTGAGCGGCTTATCCAGGAGCTGACCCGCATTGACATTGACACACAGAACATTGTCGTTAACCAGCTAGTGTATCCATTGGCAAGCACTGCTGAAGCAAGTAAGTACTGTGCAGTGTGCTATCGACAGTATCGTGTAGGGATATTGAAGAGCTCTCTGGTTTTCAGTGACGGCTCTGACCCGATTGGTGGTGGGGAGAGAGAGAGAGAGAGAGACAGAGAGAGACAGAGAGACAGAGAGACAGAGAGACAGAGAGAGAGACAGAGAGAGAGACAGAGAGAGAGACAGAGAGAGAGACACAGAGAGAGACAGAGAGGGAGATATATTTCAGTACTGATATACATGATTGTATTCTCCCGTGCATTGCCATCACTGATGAAGAGTGTTATCCGTGTGTTGACAAGAGCCATGGCTTTGTGAATGTTTCTCTGCGGCAGTGTTATTTTCCTCTTTTTGTGTGTCACTCGTCACGTGATACTCCGCTTGCATTGTATGCTCTGTGATTGCTGTTGGTTTCCTTGTTTGGTATTTCCACAGAGGCGAATGGATGCAAGATGTGTACAGCGCGGCGAAATATTCAGAAGAAGTACCTTGACCAGGTATGTTGGGTGGCGTTTTGCGAGATTCATTGTGTCTCTCAGGTTGGCCCTTGCTGTGACGGCGGGCCTCTACAGTTTCCACTGTTTTCTGGTCTTGTTGGATGAAAATGTTGTGCACTCGCGATAGCACAGCCGCCTTTCCGAACAGGAGAAAAATCGTGTACGTCAGGGAGGGCACTTACCTGTAGATGTATGGTACATGGCATGCGTGCAGTGCATCAAAGCACGAAAAGTATATCTGACCCAAAGCCTGCTCGCTGTGGGAGCATTGAAAGTGAAACCGTATTTATATGAAAGAAGTACGTTTTTCCCATTCCGTTGTAGTACATGTAGTATGATTGTCTATGCACTGTTGCCACATTGACACAGGGGCAAGATTCTTACTGACGAACAGTGAACTTTCTATGTGTACTCGACCGCTCAGCTCATGTCTTGCCCTGTCTTTGCTGTGATCGTGTGCTTTTTCTCTGCGTTTTTTGCAACTGTGGAAACTGATCATCTGCCAATTACCTGTTCTTGGTTGTGGTGTATCTCCTGTACATGCAGATTGATGACATGTACGAGGACTTTCACGTCACTAAGCTGCCGCTCCTGCCCAACGAGGTGCGTGGCCTCGAGGACCTGACGGACTTCTCGACGAATTTAATACGGCCCATCTCTCCCAGTGTGTGTCCGCAGGACCGGATGCCGCATGAGTGTGCTGCCGGTGTCAATGTGGCCCCGCCGCCTTTGGAATCGTCCGTTGACGACCTGGACCCGTCCCTTCTCAACATTGTCGAGCAGCAGTCCCTGAAGTGGATATTCGTCAGCGGCAAGGGTGGCGTGGGCAAGACCACCTGCAGGTTAGTTGTGTGCCTGGCAGGGGTGTAGGAACGGGAACTTCGTAGAGTTCATTTACATGGCTTAGCCCCACTGGCTTTGAAAACCTGACTTTGCCAAAATGTAGGCTCCGAAACCCATCTTTACTGTACCGACATGTTTGTTTGTGACATTGTGTTTGTTTTTAGTTGAAGTATGCGTTTGAGATGTATTCAATACTGTTCATTCTCTCTCTCTCTCTCTATCTCTCTCTCTCTCTCTCTCTCTCTCTCCCTCCGTGCATTGCGTTTAGCTCGGCATTGGCTGTTCAGCTGTCTAATGTTAGGGAGAAAGTGCTGATCATATCCACAGATCCAGCACATAACCTCTCGGATGCGTTCAATCAGAAGTTTGGCAGCGAACCGCACCTCGTCACCGGCTTTCGGAACCTTTACGGCATGGTAGGAGTTGGATTGTGTACTGGGTACCTATCATGCTTTTGTTTGGATTAACGTATTGGGCTCTGGTTGTTGTAGAGTAATCGTACAATTGCATGCTTTTGCTTTATCAGTGTGTGACTCTGGGCGTTGTGGAGTAGTCCTACAGCTGTACCAGTATGTCTGATGTGAACTGTGAGCTATCTCTCCAGGGTGCGGTTCTCATTGATTGTAGCTTGACTGATCAATCTGTTGCCTGCAATGTGCATGTACCCTGCTCCAGGAGCTGGACTTGGCACCGATATCTGAAGCACAAGATGACGTGCTGGCTGGCGATGAAGACGGTACGGTAGAGCTCGATAGTCCTGATGACACTGTGGCAGTGGCAAGAGAGGTTCTTGCACGATTTGATACGCTTGACCTACGCTGCCTATGCGTTGCTCGACATGCTGGCAAAGACATAAAATCCTAGCACATGTACTCGTAGTAAAGGTCAACTATAAACTTGGCTTTCTTCACTTTCTTGACTAGGGGTATCAATGTTGCCTGTAGTAGTCCTGCCGAGAAGGCATGACAAGTCATAACGAATGAACGCACATGTAAGCGGGAGACAGAAGGGAGCTAAATGTATACCGGTAGTTGTCCTGGCTGCTGCCGCTTACCCCTTTATGTAGTTGTCCTTGCCGTAATTACTTATTACTAGTGGTGTCTTGTCTCCACAGAAGTATATTGCTACTTGCCCGTAGTTTGCTTCTCGTCGCATGCATTGCTGTTTGTAGTGTGATCGTGGAGCCAGTTCTGGTTGCATTCGTTTAGCGTTTCACCACACAGGCATGGCGTTGATTTGTTTGGCTTCATTACACAGATAGCGGCTTAATCTCGCTGGTCTCCGACTTCGTCAAGTCCTTTCCCGGCATCACAGAAGCGCTTGCCCTGGCAGAAGTTCTCAGGTATGTGTGGTGTTGCAGGCGCCGACCCTGGCAGCTATGTTGCAGTGGGTCTGCACAGTGTCTATCAGTACCCTGCAGTGGGTGTGTACAGTGTCTATCAGTACCCTGCAGTGGGTCTGCACAGTGTCTATCAGTACCCTGCAGTGGGTGTGTACAGTGTCTATCAATACCCTGCAGTGGGTGTGTACAGTGTCTAGCAGTACCCTGCAGTGGGTCTGCACAGTGTCTATCAGTACCCTGCAGTGGGTCTGCACAGTGTCTAGCAGTACCCTGCAGTGGGTCTGCACAGTGTCTATCAGTACCCTGCAGTGGGTCTGTACAGTGTCTATCAGTACCCTGCAGTGGGTCTGCACAGTGTCTATCAGTACCCTGCAGTGGGTCTGCACAGTGTCTATCAGTACCCTGTAGTAACATACCAGTATGCGATGGTGGCTCATATCATTTAATGCCGCATTCCTTAATTAAGGTGACAAAAGAGAAGTGTTCTGACCGTATATTATCTAGTTGTAGTGGTGGACAGTTGTTTATTACCCGTATCCTTGTGTCCCTTCTCTTTTGTACCGAACCTTTTCTTTCTTCCGGTGATGTATTTTGTATTGTATTTTATTATTTTACTTTGACATTTCCAACAGACCCTAAGGTCTTCTTACAGGCTGCGTGTCATTGTCTAATCTGTGTGCCCTGTACTAACTACTTGTACCTTTTCGTTCCTCTGTTCGCCATCCTGTGTTGACTGTAGAATGGTACAGGTCCTAGACTTCTCAGCCGTTGTGTTCGACACCGCTCCGACTGGCCACACCCTGCGCCTGCTCTCCATCCCGCTTGCCATGGAGGAGACGCTGGGCAAGGTGATGGGAATGAAGGACTCGTTCTCCTCGATGATGTCTGGGGTGAGTTGCGCGGGTCGCTTGGTCTTGTGCTTCCGCCGCTGCCGCTGAATCACTGCGGGCACACTCTCATTGTGTCTTCTTCGATGCCTGTGTATGCTGTGCTTTGTTACAGACCCTGGCCTTGCATGCTGTATGCTGTGCTTTGTTTCAGACCCTGGCCTTGCATGCTGACTAGTACTGCTCTGCTTTATGAGTGAGGCTGTTCTTGTTGGTGTGAGATCATACACGTGCTGTGTGCATTGCTCTCCTTTCTTGGCTTCTTTCCTGTAGGTTGGCTCAATGTTCGGTATGGGTGACTATAGTCCAGATGCCATCAGTTCTAATCTTGACGGTATCTTGCCAGCCATCAAGGACATCAACAAGCAATTCCAGGACCCGGTAAGATTTCCATTCAAGCACTTGCCCTTGGATGCTTGTGGTAGTCTGCTACTAGACTGCTAGGCATATCAATTAAGAGATTTTAAGATGCAGTTGACGTGAATTTCATTGCCATCTTGGACTACCAAGATGTCTCCATAAGCTTGATATGTAGCTGGGCCTAGGGATTCATGTACAGCCGACCTACCCTTATAACGATATTTGCGTCACACCAAGAAATATTGTTATAAGGGTAATATTGTTATAGGGGTAACTGGTTCATTTCATACACATACGTCATAATGCATGGATTTTGTTCATTTTTTACACTCTTCATAGCGTAAAAAACTGACATACATGCACATTATGTGCACAGCAAGGTGCCCACTGGTGCCCCATTGCATTTCGCCATGTCCCAACGACTTATCAAGTGAAACTTGCCCTACCTGGATAGTAGGCTCTACATATTCCCTGCTAGATATTGTTATAAAATGGAAAATGTCGATTGGCCAGTCCATTTTTTATCGTTATAGCAATATTGTTATAGACGTAAGGCATTGTATACACAAGAGGTTATCGTTATAAGGGTAATATCGTTATAGAGGTTATCGTTATAAAGGTAGGTCGACTGTATAGTTGTGGACTGATTGAAATGCGATGGGATAACCGGGGCCGGCGCCCTTACTGCTTTTAGCGCCGCGTACATGCACTGTAGTTACTGGTATCGTAAAATGGCGCAGCACTGCTCGCGGCTGCAAGGCCAGCGCCCCGTGGCCGCTTGAACGGGTTTCAATGTCCGCGACAGTACTTGTACACTATACTATAGTTGAAGAGGCGACAGTGTTCTTTTCTGCTGTTGCTGCTTCCCTGCGTAGACCAAAACAACGTTTGTCTGCGTGTGTATCGCGGAGTTCTTGTCCTTGTTTGAGACCGAGCGCCTAGTCCAGGAGTTGACTCGCTACCGCATCAATGCGCGCAACATTGTTGTCAACCAGCTGTTATACCCGCTGCACGGACCGCTCAACTGTGACATGTGCAAGGCAAGACGTAGCATTCAGCGCAAGTACTTAGAGCAGGTGAGTGGCTAGGTAGCGTTGAGTTTGTTTGTTGTATGCTAGCCTGGAACGGTATGGTGGAGATAGATACATAAATGACACAGGCAGCAGGACAAACAAACACACACACACACACACACACACACACACACACACACACACACACACACACACAATGTCCAATGCTTAGAATGGAATGGACTGGAATGTTGGACTAGAAAAAGAACTGACTCTGTGTTTATGATGTCTTGTTGTAGATTACTGAACTATATGAGGACTTCCATATCGTTAAGATGCCCTTATTGCCAGAGGAAATACGCGGATCCCAGGCTGTGGCTCAGTTCTCGTCTCGTTTGATAAACCCGTACGATCCGTCTTGTCCTGTTGCATAGTACCATCTACCCAGGCTCCTGGGTGAAATCGTTTGTCACATTCAGCCTTCAGGACCATTGCACGATGCAGCAGTGTTTCCTGTCGAAGCTGTTGATCATATTCGCTTCTCATACTCCCCATATATTTTGTCCCGTATATGTTGTCACCTTGGCTTCAGAGAGAAGTTCGTTCATGTTCCCCTCTTGCTGATGCTGGTCGCACGGCCAATCGAATGTCTTACTTCGAAGTATAGTGAAAGATCATAGGGGTATGTAACCGGCACCATACGTAGTATTCACATGTTCTCATGTAGCAGTTGACCGACCACTTGATGACGTGTTCTTCATGATTGCGGTCTCTTGCCATTGCTGGCATCTCCCAAACCGGGTCCGTGTTTCGTCTCTTTTTATCACTCGCCGTCTGTCTATCACCCACTGATAGGATTAGGAGCCAAGGGCATGTGCATGTGCGCATGTTTTGTTTTTTTAGACCCAGGCATGGTATTTCATTAGTACTTCACATTATTATTTTCACCGTTTCATTCTGCTGAAGTCCAGGTCGCCGACCTCTTGAAACAGGTTTCTACTTGAAGTAGCGCCGAATAAAAGCACCCTTCTTTCCGCGCATGTCTCGTATTGCTACGTTCTCTGTATTCTGTATACTGCGCATTCCCCGTATTTCTACGTTCTCTGTATTCTGTATACTTATTACACAACTATTTATCTCCTTTCCAGCCCGAATATTTTTTAATGCTGATTACCCATCCATCATCTCGCACTTCACACTTTCTCTGGACTACAACAATTACTAGTCCTTGTCCAGTGAAACTTCGTATAACTGACACCCTAGGGACGGAAAAATCAGTACTTCCAGGTACTTTATCTACATGTAGCTTATCCGGGGCCAAATGGCTGGAGAAGGTGAGGCAGTCTTTTTTTTTTAAATAACTACCAGTGCTCTATATCTGATGCAGAGAACACCATGCTTTTCTCTCGGCATTGGATATAAAGTAGTCGTTTGAAGAACAGTGGTATGTCCAGGGTAAAGAGCATGACTGTACTACTAGTATTCCAATCAAAAGTTTCGAGCTGCGCCCATCCTCCGAAGCGGCAAAATATGAAGTGAGAGTGTGGCACACCATAATTATAGACCTACGTGTACCATGCTATGCATGCATGTGCACCGGCATATCTATGGCATTGAGGGTTCTGTAAACAAAATCATCCAAATTTGCAGGTGCTATGCACGGTAAAAGTTGGATGGGTCTTCCCTTGCATGCTCTCTCTAATGCAGCACACGATAGAGTTGGATTCAGAGACATCATTCACAATTCTCTTGCTGAGTAATGCCTCTACGATCACCTTGTGATTATGAGTTATACATACATACATACATACATACGTACATGCACGGTGCCCAGGTGCTTGGTCTTACATGTATAATGATTAATCTACACGGTAGATCTACATGTAATAGTTGTAATTGTTTCCCAAGATCATGCTTCCCATACATTCCGATCAACACACACCATCAGAAAGGACAACGGCATAACAGCAACGGCTCCAGTTTTGCAGATGTGCATGGGCGCGGGCAGCAGGTTGTGCACGATGCCAGCATTCTGGGGTCTGCATGGGTAGATCTATAATAATTATTATGATTGTATCCACTTCCGGAATTCCTGGAGCTAAATTACCATGATTACTCCATTACTTGTAAAGACCTTAAGTACATGTAATTAGTTGTAGATCTATAGACCCCATCCCATTGTCCTACTTGAATGACGTCACTTGAAGATTATTGATACAGCTGTACAGTAGATGTGCACCTCTGTTGCACTTGAAAGCAGGGAGTAGTACAATAATAGCCTGAATAGGTATTGTACTAGTCTATAGTACTACTCCCTGCTTGAAAGCAACTGGAAGTCTAGCATCCTGTTCGCGTTCCACGTTCTTGGCGGATTCACGCTGGGTCTGATTACCAGGTTTACACTACAGTGCTAGCTTTGTCCTTGCTTGGTAATTAATATTTCCTATGCCCAGTACACATGGTATAATAGGCGCTAGGGGCGGAGTGCACATGCCCTTGTGATCTCATCCTTGAGCATCATATCTAAACAAACTTTATTTTGTTTGCTTTACGAAATGAAATGAGTGCTCCGGTATCCAAAACAGTGCCAACGCCCATTCCGGCCTGCAGTGGCGATGACTGAACGTCTGCCGGAAGTCCAAGTATCGTAGTCTGCGTTCGCCTTACCCGGAAGAAGGTAGCGGGAGGACGACTTGAGACATCTGCGGCGCAGCCATCAATCGTGAATGGCATCATACCGTCGTCATGCGTCATGGCCATTGATGCCAGATAAAATGGAAAATCGCATGAGACAAGAGACAAGGTCAAGAGACCTTGCGTCCTGTTCATCTTATTCTGATTCTCTAACGTCACCTACAAGTGTACATGTAAGTACGTAGCAAGAAGATCACCTCAGTTCTCAGTTCTCTACCTAGCCGACTGCAGAGGACATTGCGGGCTGCCTGCACTGGCTACAGGACAGCAGTGGAAGCACAATCTCACTGCCCTACCTATCATGAGCGCATACATGTACATTCCTAACGACCTCCACTCAGCAGGTGTACTCTCGGCTAGCCGGCTTTTTATAGCCAGGGAGTAGTACAATACCATAATTATATAATGTATTGTACTACTCCCTGTTTATAGCTCTGCCCGTCTTTGACATGGTGCAAAACCGGTAGTCTCTGACCGAGAGAAGATTTACTCTTGATTCGACTGAGATAGTAGACAAACCATAATTATGTACAGTAAAGACCATAATTAATACCGGTAATCTTTATTTCAGGATGACCGTAAAGGCTAACGCCGATGGGGGAGGGGGGATCTCCTACCATGTTGTGATTTTAGAAGGTAGGGGTCAAGTACCAGCATGGTTATCTCACACATTGCCCGGCCAGTAAGAAGCAATGTACCAGGATAATGACTACTAGTATTGAGTATTGTCCTGCAGCCGCACGCACAGGCAGTGACTAATTGAATGTGGGTCATTTCACTTCTGTATGGTGAGCACATGATAATTGTCTGTGCCAAGCTACCATTCATTCCATCTGCTTCTCTCTTCAAATCAGCACATTACTAGAACAGCGGTCAGGAAAGTGGTGTTGAGATCATAGAGATCATCACGTTTGTAATGGTGTCACATGAATGGGGAGAAGCTTCCCTACTGCTTCCCACCCAAGTACAGCCATGTACGGCACAGCTATGCTGTAGCCCACCAGCCATGATCATTTCACCATTACTTGCTACTTCTGAAATGTGAACAGAATCTGAGTCCTGAACTGTGCATGTGGTGTACGGTGCACTGTATGCACATGATGAGGGAACACCTTATAGCAAGGGGAGAGAGAGAAAGAGAGAGAGAGAGAGAGAGAGTGTGTGTGTGTGTGTGTGTGTGTGTGTGAGAAAGAGAGAAAGAGAGAGAGAGAGAGAGAGAGAGAGAGAGAGAGAGAGAGAGAGAGAGAGAGAGAGAGAGAGAGAGAGAGAGAGAGAGAGAGAGAGAGAGAGAGAGAGAGAGAGAGAGAGAGAGAGAGCAGCTGCAACAGCAACTCGGCCACCAGGGCTTATCCACTGGTGTATGCCAAAAGATTTCTGGCGTCGTCTAAAACATAATGCGTGACGAGGTTCCAATGTTAGCAAACCGGTATGCATAAACCGGTATGCATTTGCTTGGCAGAGTATCAACTCATTACAGGGAATTGCTAACTACTGGCATGATGGTGCAATCTCATGAACACTATACTATCTATAGCAAACACACACACACACACACACACACACACACACACATACTACCTATACGTACATGTGCCACTGAGCGGACATCACAAGGAGCATTTGTCACAGAAATCTTTAAGACTCAAATCCAGCGTAAATTTCGAGGAAGGATGGCCAAGTTGTTAATGCGGGGTAGAGTAGTATACTATAGAAGCAGGGACGATACTAAACGAAGCAATACGTGGGGAACAAGTGAATTAGCACACAGCGACTACTTGGTGTGTGTGTTGGGGGGGGGGGGGGGCATACATGTGCATGCACTAAAAAAAACTACGCTAACTGGTACTCGAGGAGGTAAAACTGCGAACACGAGCAACCCTACAATACAGCTGTCATGGTTCTGTGTTGTATGAATTGTGACAGAGATCAACTAAAACATAGCTATCATACCATCAGCACTCTCCTCAGTAAGCGTAGGAGGGGGCACAAGAAGTAGAAGAGAGAAAAAAACCGTGTAAACAGCAAACAATAACATTGGCATATTCCCAAAAGGAAGGTCAAGGGAGAGCGGCTGACAAACGATCGCACGCATGCATGTATGCGCGCACATGCATGCACACTCACGGACAGAAAGACAGACATATACATGCCCACGCACATACACATGTGAACAGTACACGTGCATGCACCCAAACTATGCCGCCATTGCATTGGGCACGCAGGATGATCCGGGAACAGAGAGCTACTACTAGTACATAGCCGGGATGTACAGTAGCACTGCACTGCACCGCGCGCACTGCACACGATTCTCATTCGCACACAACAAGTCATGCTTCGTGCACACCGCACACCAGCCCAAAGGCGGTCGACCAGCCGAAGGTGCTAAACCTTTTCGTAGCCACCCCTCTTGCTCGTACGCCTATTGATTGCGTAGGCAACCAAGACGAGAAGGAGCAAGCCGGCGAGAGCAGCACCGACTGCAATGGGTACAATGCGGTTTGCGGCTTTCCCTGGCGCAGGTGCATCGCAGCTTGTCAGCTTGCCGTTGTTGAACGGGTCGATGACCAAGTCCTTGTAGAGCAGAGTGACATTAGACGTTGAGGTTTCTGATGATAAAACAACCGTCTCGTTGTCCGCACACTCGTAACCATTCGTGCTGTCGCTGGATATGTCGACCTCTGCAGTGAACGCCTCATCCTGTGATGGTTCAGCTGATGTATTGAAGTATTTCTCATCCGTGTAGTCAACCATCAATGAGAAGTTGGCCACGCTCCAGTTCGTGTTCTTGCCGTCCATATGGACATCCACATTTATTGTAAAGATTTGGCTGTAGTTGGTGCCAAAAAGAACGACTAGCCGGCCAGGCTCTCCGGCAGTGGCGTTTTCGGGACAAACGCTGTCGTTGCTGATTTTCGCAGACGTATTCAAGCCCGGCAAGGGGAAATAGCTGACTAACGTGGTTGGAGCACCCTGCGCGCTGGACACATAGGGAACCTCGAACGAGGCTTCCAGCGCCACGCTCATACACGGAACGCCGTTGTCGTTTTCCACGACATACGTGTGTTGCCCATATTCCTCGTCCTCCCCAACTACTTCCATAGCCACTGCATCATACTCGTCGGTCTCTCCGGTGGCCAACGGTGCAAGTCCTGACACCAGCACGACGACTGGCAGCCATTTAGCTACAAACATTGTGCAGATACGTGGCAAGAAATCACCGAGAAGAAGTTCTAATCTGAACAAGGAAACGCCGAATCTTCCAGCAGAACAGTTTTGAGGAAAGGGTGGAATAATTTTTTTATGGAAGTCGTCCTGCATGCATGCACCGATGCAGGCGCATTGAACGGGTAGGTAGCTTGTTGCTTTGCTGAAGTACTTGTACTTCGAGCTCAAAGCGGAAGTGGCACGGATCGAAGGCGCCGGGTGACAGTTGTTTAGCACATGCGTTCCGCGGTACATTCTAGCTTACGGTAGTTCGCGCTAGCGCTACTGTGTCAGTATGCACGCATGCATGCAGTCAGCTGTGGTCACGACACGACGTAAGTGTCTACACGTGTGATCCACCTGATCACCACGATCACTAGTGTGACTGCCTGCCTGACCTGTACAACATAGTACATACTCCTGGTCCTAGAAATAATTCCGGTAGTAGATCTACACAGTACTAATACAGTAATAGTAGATCCTCTCGCCTTGCCCTTTGTCACACAGTTTGTGGATGTGACCCGGTGACCTCGTGACCGGTTACGGCGGTCTTGATCATTAAAAAAATTAATTATGAGTTACTCAGACATACAGTGTACATGTACATGACTTGTACATTGTAGTAATTATTAGTATCAAAGTATGGTACTGTAATCTACTCGGATCGTAATGTACTAATGAGCTGAGCCTGAATAAAATTTAGAAATGCGTCCAGTCACTGGCAGTCAGCAGTACAGGCATTACCGGTAGTGCGACATACAGTACATGTAGTGGTAGGAGTACTGTACACATTGTTTTGTCATTCTCACAACTACTACTGAGTATGTGAAGAAGAGGTTGATGCGACTTCGGCGATGCTTGGGGTGTGTGGCTCCCAACATGGGAGCTCGCGGTTTTCCTGCCGACTTGAATTCTCACTTGACTGACTCACGACTGCCATCCAGAGCACAAGAGAAGTCCATCGAACCGTCCACTCAGCAAACCTGCAAGAAAGCACCACCCCCTGCTCAATACACAGTGTTTCGGGGACTCATCCCTCATCAGTTGAGCTTGAGTAGGCTGAGGAAGATTGTGCATGAAGAGCAACACTTATAGTGCTCTCTAGGCACAAACATGATCAGGGATACAAACTTACAGAGACGTTCCGTTTCCAGCGCAACTAACTCCTCGTGAACACCAGATCGTGAGTCAGTGTCGCTCCTGGACGGTGAGAACAGACGTCGAGGACCCTCGGTCATTCTCTCCCCCTCTCCCCTTCCCCCTCTCCCTCTCCCCCTCCCCTCCCCCTCCCCCTCCCCCTCC